GATTAATAACAGCCTTTACAGTAAATAATCTAGTATAAACAGTAAGATACACATTTAAGTACATTTTGCTCAGTGTATTTTTATGTGTCAAATGTTTATTGAAAGGAATGATTGATTTATCAGTGTTTACAAGACACAATGTGTTCAGAAAAGTAATACACACTGTCAAGCACATTATGCTCTGTTTGCTTTGGTTAATGACTTTGTTCTGTACTGGAGCCTACTATTACTGTTATCTATTGCATCAAAGCATATTAAAATGTGTTTGAACAATTTTATCATTTCTTAATAATGTTTGTACTGGAAGAGAGAATGGGAGGGGGTCGTCAAAAATTTTACTGGTAAAAAACGGGGTCCCTTGGGAAAAAGGTTGGGAACCACCGATGTAGTGGCTTGCCTTTTCTGCTAGTCAGGCAGATCAATGTGGCTCCTGAGTCAGAGGAGAACTCGCAGGTGTAGTTGATGGAGGCAATGCTCAATATTCAGATTTTTTTGGTCTAAATTATGAAGTTGTTTGCTAAAAAAACAAAAAAATTTAAATCTATTTCTGTGCTGAAAAAGAGACAGTCGCATTGTTTATAAAGTACACACATTATGAAGGAATGTTTTTGTTTTTTACAGCGATAATGTATGGCCTCTGGTTATTTAGGTCAAACTCTTCGGTCTGATTAATAACGAAGCATTATTTAATTAATTTACTTATTTTAATTGGTTCAAACAATTTAAATTCCACATTTTAAAAGTAATCTGTTCAAATAATTATACTGAAGATAAGAAAATAAATCAGATAATGAGCTCCGCCCACATTTTTGTCAGGTTTGATGTTTTGAACTTTAAAATCGATTTTACCAACCGACTTTTAATTCATTAGATAAAACATTGTGTTGCCTTTTAATGAAAATCTTTTTTCCACCAACCTGGCAAGCGATCCTATATGTGTGAGTAGTTTGGCCATGATCAACGGACGGCTGTCTTTCATACTGTTTCTGCAAGTAGTTGGACAGCACTAGGGCCAATCAGAGCGATGAACAATGTGATGTAGTCGTCGTTTTGGAATCAGTCTGCCATACATCGTCGAAGAAGAAGACGCAAATTCATTTTTTTTCAAATAAAGAAAATTAATAACTCTATCTGCTCACGTCTCAAGAAAATTCCGAGTCTAAATCTTCTATAGATGATGCCGAAGGACTGCTGTTCCCAAGCCGACGCCATGTTTGTAGTTTTTCTCCATTGCACTCTACAAACAGAGTGCTGTGATTGGCCAAACATAAACTTGCCTGAGCCAATGGTAGACCTGCTGGCTGCAATGGAGCCTGGCTAGACCGACCTGCAGAGCAAAATATTTTTCTACTGTTGGCCAAGATTTCTTGGCTTTTTATCATTTACTCTACATTAAAGGTCAACTTTATTTATATTTTAACATTTGCAGTGGTCTCAAGTAGGAATGAAAACATTATAAGTCGTTCTCTGAGGGGAAAAAAAGCTCCGGTGTGCCTGTTAGGGAATCTCGCCTTGGATCATATCACGACTCTACCACTAACCTGCAAAGTTGATGTTTATTCTCCACAAATAACACAAGCCTGGAGGAGTTCTGCCATGTGGCGGAGTTGCTAATTCTGATTTCTGGTCCCACCTGACCATCCTGCAGTCTCTGTGTGCAGAGGAGTTGCAGCACACCTGTTCTACAGCTCAGCCCCAAAAGTCTACTAGTGCTGAAAATATGGCCGCCCAGGCAGGTGTGCAGACCACATGCCTTAACTCAGGCACGCAGATTCACAACCTCAGGGGAAACAATCCCTCTGCCAATGGCTTAGAGTCGAAGAGGATGAGGATGCTACTGCATTCACATATTAATATGTTCTCCCTTAGACAGGATTAAAATCTTACATGTCAGTTAGCACAAAGAAATCAATCAAAAGTCATTTGTGCAAGGCACACCCTTCAAGAACCCCGTAAAGAATGCTTAAGTATTCAAATCTAGTAGAATTCTCATTGATACAGATTATTTATCACTTCACACAAATTGTATTAAGCTGAAGACATAAATAAAAGAAAACATGATGCAACAAAGCATGAGGCAAACCTTTACCCCCTACAGGAACTTTGCCACAAAGCAAACAAATGAGAAGAAAATCCATCTGAAATGATCAAAAGAAATTTCTAAAAAAAAAAACACAAAAGGTCCTGCATCGCAAGACGACCTTTTAAGAAAAAAAAAGAAAGAAAGAAAACGATAAAAATCACGAGGCAATTCATAAAAACAAAAACATTTAAGAATTAAAAAGCTTAAAATTAATAAATGATTAAAAATTTGTTTAAAACGAGAAAAAAATAAAATTTGTGAATTAAAAATTATATAAGGAAAGGTAGAGAGAAAATGAGTAGGAAAGAGGGAAATCAGTGGATCTTGGGAAAAGCGGAATAAGAACAGAATAAAGAAATGGTGGTGATGAAGGTCTGTTTAGCACGTGTCTGGAGGTGATATTAAAGATATTAATTCTTGGAGTTTCTGCCCTCATGCTGGCCAAGTCATGAAATAATGTCTTACAGTTGAAATAAAACTCAGTCATGAGAATCGAGGGGTGGTGGTATCTAAGGGAAACAAAGGTGAACTGAACTAAAGTCAGTCTTCAGCTGTAATAAAAAAAAAAATTTGTTTCAAAAACCTTTAAGTGACAAAAACAATAAACCCACTGCACAATGCATCATTCTCCAGAAATAAAGAGACTATATATATACCGTAAATCCTCTAATACAGGCCCGGGCCTGTATTTGACTCAAGCTCATCAAGCTCCAGGCCTTTATTGGAAGGAGGGCCAGTATTAGAGGCAGGCCTCAATTTCTATTTGAGCAAAATGAACTAATGGTTCGCTGGAGTTTTTGACAATTAAAATTGCGCCCACATTTTCAAAGTTAAACACATTTCTTTTAACAACGGTAGTTTCTGCTTCAGCCCTCTCCCCCCTCCCCCTGCGCAGCGACCGCAAGCTCACTGATGCGCCTGCAGCCTCTGGGAGTTCCTGCTGCTCTAAACATTAAAATAATTATTTCATTTTCTGTTCCTCACTTCTGATGACCTTCAATGGTGTCTGTTTGTTGCAACCACCAGGTACAAAAACTAACTTGTTTTTATTTGACTATTTTTCTGTCCTTCCTGTTTATTATCTTCCTGCATCTCCTCTCAATCCTAAAGAGAAACTGCTACCTGGGTTCATATATATTCACCTCATGAGTTACCTTTGAACTGCAGTTCTAAAAGATCTACCGACCGCAAAAACAGCGGAGCGCTTGCTGTTTGGCGGCCGTATCAGTGATCAGTGCGTCTGAGGACAAGGTGATGCGCGCAGCGCCCCGCTCCACAGCATGCAGCGAAATGCATCAGGCGCAAATAAAAGACAGAAAACATTAAAGGAAATGAACTGACATGAACGATCGCGTGTTAAATTAGTTTTTGAGGTGGCGACACCTGACTGTTACTGTGGCCATGCTCAGGAGGCAGATCTACCGACCGCGAAAACAGCGGAGTGCTCCCTGCTTGGCGGCCGCATCAGTGATCGGTGCGTCACCGGAGGACAAGGTGAAGCGCCCCGCTCCACAGCAGCGATACGCATCAGGCGCAAATAAAAGACAGAAAACATTAAAGGAAATGAACCGACATGAACGATCGCGTGTCAGTACCTACGGTCTGGCACAGCGCGTTGCCCCCCCCCCCCCCCCCCAAAAAAAACCCCGAGCGCAGGAGCTTGTCACCTGCTGACAGCAGGCTGCCGCCTTTTCCGGGGACTGCATCTTGCCGGTCATTATCACGTGACAGCGACTAGTCGATGACAGGCATAAAAAGTCACTATAGTGAAGTTGACTAGTTCATACACCCCCTACTGCTGCTCTCCAGAGTGTTCTGCAGCATAATCAGCACGTTCTCTTTGAACTTGATAGTGTAATGACCTGGTTGGGGTTGTAAGCCAGGTGCATTCTGGGTATTGTGTTATATGTGTTTCCTATCGTTCTGCTAGTTCCTATGTGCTGATTTGCGTGTTGTGTGAGTGTTATGTAAGCCACAGGGAAGGTGATGTGTGTTCTGTGGAGCGGGTTGAATTAGCATGGTTAACTGACACCGTGACTCTGTGTGGTAGGAGCGTGATAGAGGATCGTGTCTGTAGCGTTACAAAGCATTGAAGAAAAAGCCTAATAAGGGTCTGCATGAACCTCTACTGCCTCCTGCTGGTTGATTTGGGGACTATAACCCTGCCGCTGAAATGCTCATATTTACTTGTTACTACATTCCACCTGGCCACAATAAAAGACCGGCCATTATTCACCTCCGCTGACTCCAACACCGGCCAGAATTGGAGACCCGGCCTTTAATTGAATGCCGACCTGTATTAGAGGATTTACGGTATGTATATATATATATATATATATATATATATATATATATATATATATATATATATATATATATATATATATATATATATATATATATACTGTCTGACATGAGTGTAACACCTGTCTGTTCATCCTGGACGCTTGAAATAGAACAGACAGTTAGATGCAAACACCATCAAGGACAGATGTCAGAGCTGGAGTATCTTCATTTAGGCCATCTGGGAGCACAGCTGGATCAGTCCTGTTTCTCACCGAATCACAGACTATTCCTTCCACTCAGACCCAGCGCCACACCACCTCTCCTGTAGAGAGAGTCACGCTAAAGGCTTCTTTTTCAATGGGCCTTGCCAAAGTCTCCTGTCCAAGCTGGCGGATGTTCAGCCATGGGATGAGCACAGGAGGCAGCGATGGCTCACATCCTGACCCCAAAATAACCAGCAAAGCAAAGATGCTCTTGCAACAGCCAACAAAAGCATTTTGGTTTATTGAATGTAAACAACAAAAGGCATCACTGCATCAACCAGCAGTCTCCAAGCTCACAGAACATTTTCGAGTGGACACGAATAAATTCAATCATCAGAAAAAGAAAACACAGTTGAACGCTCACTGACCTCCAAGCTGTATTCCTCCACGGTCCTCCTGAGCGGGTCCACAATCTGCCAGCAGATGAGAATGCACAAGTCGATAAGCAGCATCCCGCCGACGATAATCAACAGCTTCTGGTCCTTTATGATCTGGAGAGAAGGAGACGTGTGTATTAGCAAAATAACTAAACATATGCTAACATCATGTTGATGTAAACATGCAACACTAAAGAGTTTGAAACACTTTAAGCCATCACTTTTAAGCTGGTTTTAGTGATTCGTGAGCCTTAAACTGACCAGGCACTGCACTTAACAGTTTTATGGCTCAGGTAGGAACAATAGTGGGACGTCTCTACCTGCTTTATGTCAGTAGTTGTTTACTGTGCCGGTAGATCATGTAAAGGAATACTGTGGAACTTTATACTGTGGAACTTTTTCCTATTTTTAAATCATTTTCTTGCATGTTTTAGATTGTGAACACAGCTGATTTGTTTAATTTAGTGACAAATCGCTTCTGTAGACACTAATGGAGGCTGGGGAGACACTTCAGCTGTTAGATTAAAGTGTTAAAAAGACAAACTCACAGCGAAGGACATAAGTTTCATTTTTAGTTTAACCACAGTGAATTTTTAACGGACACTAGAGGGGGCTAAAAGCAAGCAAAACTACAAAGTATCCCTTTAAAGGTTAGCCATTAGGTTTTTCAGGCCGCTGACCATCATTAACTCATTAACTGCCATCGACGACAAAAGTTGTCATTTTAAATCCAGCCGTCCACTGCCATTGATGACTTAAGTCGTCATTTGCAATTTTTTATTGTGTGAAGGTCGGAACGAGCCCCCGCACTGTGAGAACAAACATCCCAGCTCTAAAGCTAAACAGCTAAAACCGGAGTGAACATCAGTGTGGCCTACACTCATTCCAGTGAAAAAATTAAAAAAGAAAAAACTCCATCCATGACTGATGGTAACCTGGCTTTGTTGCTACTGGACTAAGTACTAATCTTATTAAGCCTAACAGTGTGGATCTTTTTACTGCGTGGCTTATTTAGTATCAGTTAGCTTGTGTTAAAGTTAGCTCATTGTTAGCATTTGTTTATGGCAGGTAGTTCTGCTTTCAACCGGTAGGAGGGATACGCGGGAAAGTTATAAAGTGTTGCTGGAGTTAGAGCTAAAGGGAAAACATGTCATTACTAATTAAAACTACAGCTTATTTCTAGAAAACCTGGCATCTTTGCCAAACTGTGTACATCTGAGTAGAAAAGAACACTTTCTTTCCCTCTCCACTAGACTCGGTTAAAGTTTTGACAACATTCTGTTTCCCCATGGTAAGATAAACCAGAAAAGACCACCCGCTGAAGGCCAGTGCTGTCAACCACTAAATCGTCTCTTCTGTAGCCTGAACTTTGGAGGGATGAAAGCCACAACCTGTTTGTGATCTTGCTTCATAACAGTGTTTGACTGTCTGGGACCACAGATCAAAACAAAGGTCAGGGGTCGCAGGCTGCTCTGTTTCATGAAACTCGCAATGGTGTCGATTCGTCCAGCGGGCTCAGAACGAAGCCTGTGAGGGGGCTGTTTTTTATCTGCTGTCATTTGATGATGATAGTGTTGCAGGAACATGGACACGGTGGAACAAAGAACCAAGCCTGTTGAGACATTTGCATAATGACCGTTTTATTCCGAGCTATTGGGAGAAGAGCTGGTGGGAAGGATGACTTCCCAAGTCTTTTATAACATGTCACTGAGAAAAATCTAATGGTTTCTAAATCAGCAGGTGCGTGTTTACTGATTACAAATAATCAACATTTTTAAATACGTTTAGGAAAATAATAAAGAGCCGCTCAGCAACCATCTGCTAAACTGTGAAACTACCACCCAGGTTTGTGCGACAAACTGCTAATCTAATTACTCCAAAGTGTTGTCTGTTTTCCTTACCCCGGTGAAACGCGCACACTGACGCATCATTTGGGTCGCACTCTTTTCCTCTCACACTTTTTCTCTTTTTTCAAGAAAAAAACTGAAAAATATTGAAAACACAAATCGTGCAAATGGCCTTAAAGCCATACTATGCAACTTTTTTCATATTTTACAATCATTTTCTTTTGCCTGTATGCGCTAAAATGAGCCTTTCCAGGGTTAATGAAATGTCACTCAGACCCCTTCGGCCCCGTGTGGCCAGAATACCGCACTTGCAACCTCAGAGTGCCCGTGGACTTTCCTGCATGTTTTAAATCATGAACACAACTGATTTGCTTTATTTAGTGAAGAAACTTGAGGAGACATTTCAACAGTTATATTAAGGAGTTAAAAAAACAAATGCACAGCGAGGAGATACGTTTCACTTTTGCTTTGACCACAGATAATTAATAACGGACACCAGGTTGTGCTAAAAGCAAGCACATCTGCTTAGTATTCCTTTATCATGGCTGAAAGCAGATGTTGCTGCAGCTACAATTGTTATTTCAATACATCTGCAGTGGTCCAGTGTAAAGTACTTCCCTGTGAGTTGTTTTCATTAGAAAATAAGGTCTGGTGCTCCTGTTTCAGGAAGTAGAACATTATTGGATGAATGGGGAGCAGAAAACAGCAGGATTTGAAGTCTTACTCATTAATATTTATGATATTGGGGCAGTAGTAGCTCAGGTGGTAGAGCGGGTTGCCTCATGATCGGAGGGTCATGGGTTCGATTCCAGCTCCCGCCAGGGGTATCCTGCTGTTGTGTCCTTGGGCAAGACACTTCACCCAACTTGCCTGTGTTAGTGGTGGTCAGAGGGGCCGACGGCGCCAAATGGCAGCCTCGCCTCTGTCAGACCTCCCCAGGGCGGCTGTGGCTACAAGTAGCTTATCATCACTAGCAGTGTCTGAATGTGAAAGTGTGTGAAAACGTCTTTGGGTGTCTAGAAAAGCGCTATATAAGTTCAATGCATTATTATTATTATTATTATTATTATTAGTATTATTATTATTATTATTATTATTCTATGCGAACATCTCGCCTCTGTTTGACCAACAGCAACTTGACACTTCCTCTGCCTTCATTCGCTCTTCTCCTTTGTGCAAAAACTGTCAACGTTGATGTTTATTCTCAACAAATAACAACAGGCAATAACACAAGCCTGAAGGAGTTCTGCGGTGTTGTGGAGTTGCTAATGCTAACGGTTTGCTTCTACTAGCTAAGATGTGCTCTGCTGTGCCCTGGCTGATAAACCAACTCAAGCCAAGGTGACTGTGTTACAGTGTGATGTAGATCTGTCAGGCTTTTTCTTTCTTGAGAGTTTCCCCACCTCTTTTCTTTTGGTGGCTAATGCAAGACTGCATGCATGTGAAACTCAGAGGAAACCATCGTATTTCAACATGAACGAGCATTAAATGATTTATCAGTGAACCCCACCTTTACAAGCACAAGAAATGAATTGATATCTGCAAGATTAATGTGCATGTTATGTGTCGAAGCAAAAAGCAAAGCTTGGGTGTTTTTGAGACGTTTTTCAGTAAGAGCTATGAAGAAAACAAAACAAAATAAAAGAAGTTGTGGATGAAGGTCAAACAGGTCCTATTGGAAAACCCAGACATCTTCCAAGAGAATACAACCAAGAGACAGCTTAGCCAGATGTTCGTGTAAGCACCTCACTTGCCTATTCCCTAATCAGGAATTTCATTTCAGTCGCTTCTTGTTTCCGTCCAGATCCAGATCTCACAGTGATGGGTACGGGCTGGGATGTACGCAAAACCGTTTATCCAGAATGTGTGATTCGGCTCAGTTCCTTCATCACCACAAAAGCCCCTCATTCCAGCAAATGTCTGCCCACTGGTCTATTTGTCGCTCAAGAATGGTGCTACTTGTAAACTAAACACCAAGATATGAGAGGTCAACTAACTCCCAGCAAAGAGAGAGCGTTCAATCAGGGGCGTGCTAGGACGGAAATCCAGCCCTGAAATATCGCTGCATGTCCAGCCGTCCGAGCCCAAAGCTCACACACGGGCCCTAGAGCACTCCAGCTTTCACAGGCGGCCAGTCCGCCGCTGCACTAAACCAACCAACTTACGTTCAAACACAAAGAGAGAGAGAGAGTCCCCTGGAGTCACTGTGGCAGCACTCACTTGCCGGATGTGTCTTCATGTTCTGATGTCACCACAAGAAGCAGATTAAAAAGTGCTTCAGTGGCTAAGGTGATGGAAGGGGCATTGCTCTGCTTATATGTGCCTTTGTTATGTTTAGACTAAAACGGACCTAAAAAGACCTCTTCCTCCTCACTGTCTTCTACGCTCGAACTTTCTGAGACCTGAAGGAACTCCGGCTGCAGCCCACCATGTGGATCCCTCACCAAACTCACCGTTGATTCACAGTCTCTTCTCTCCCGGTGTACAGGAGGAAAGAAGGAAGGAGCAAAGAAGGAGTAACTGATGCAGTTCCAGTTTCACAGTTTGAAGAAAAGACGGCTAACGCTTGTGTCTGTCCATCCCCTGACGGCAGTTGGCAGACATTTCAGGGCCCCGACAGCAACCATCAGTCTGTTGGAGCCAAAGTACAGGCACTCAATCTGTGTGTGTGTGTGTGTGTGTGTGTGTGTGTGTGTGTGTGTGTGTGTGTGTGTGTGTGTGTGTATCCTCCACACACGCCTGGGCCCTGAGCCAACAGGGCATACATCTTGAGGGTTAAAGGCTGAAGTGTGCAGCAGGGGTGAATTCTGCCTCTGAGGAAACATTTGTTTAGTGTCTTCCTTTAGCTAGGGATGGAGGGGGAGAGGGGGAGACGTGAGCAGAAATAATTGGCTATGAAATGTCAAAGCAATGTTGAGCTCAAAGGAGCAAAACTCTTTTCTTTCATGAAATCACTTTGGAAAAAGACAAGAAATTAAAGAAATGTAAAAGGTCAGGTTCAGGGGATTTTTAAACTTGCTTTGGGAACTTTAGCTAAAATTTATCTGAAGTGGCTGCTCTTTGTCTTTTAACCTTGATCGATCATTTGTCCCCCTTTCCCCAGCTTCTCTTTCCTTTTCGGTGTTTTTCTGCTTTGCCACTCTTTCTCTGTCACTGTTTTCCTACTTCTGTCTATTCTTTTTCACTCTTCAACCATCCGGTTTTGTTTGCCTCCTGCTCACAACCAGGCCACCCCCTTCATTTTAAATAATGAAGAAGGGAGAAGAAGAGAAATGGGGAAGAGTGGTGTCTAAGAGACACAGGATGTCAAATGTTGAAACGTCTTTTGTACGTTAAATAAACAAAGATAAAAGCAGGCGTCAGGAACCACCAGTATTTCAACATGTGTGTTATAATTTATGTGTCAAACATAAACTGGTGCAATTTTAGCTACAAGCTGCTACTTTTGGTTGAGAATGCAGCTGGTTTGAGTAAAAATAGACCAGCTCAGAATGACCAGTCCTAAATCTGTGTCACTGTAATATCCAGCTGGACGATGAAGCTCTGTTGCACCGTGCCTTCTGAACACCATACTCACCTTCACACCACTACTCTCTACAGTACATGACTGAATCATGGAAAATCAAGGATACTCCTTCGGTATAAAGGCAATCACTCAAGTTCCCGTGTCAATCAGACCAAACGTACCCATCACCACCGCTATCCCACCCTGGGGCTGGCTTGAAATATTTTGAACCAGGCTGCAGCTGGAAGATGTAGAATAGTGATACTCAGTTCTGGGCCTGGAGGGCCGGCATCCAGCCAGGGATGGGTACCGAATTCGGTACTTTTTAAGGTACCGACCGAATTGCACAGTACCGACCGAGCACCGATTCACGTCGTTTCAAACGGTGCCTCGTTTCGGTACCCGTCCTTCATAACGAGAACTTGCCAAGACAGCTGCGCATGCGCAAGAGCATTATGTCGTCGGTCGCTGTGAGCGAGTTGTAAACAGAGCAGCATGGTAGAAAGAACGCACGCTAAAGCTTGGGTCCACTTCACTAAATGTGATGGGTAACTGGGTGATGATGAAACCAGCGACAACGATCTAAGTGAGACATCCTCATCTTAATCTGCTCCGGTAGGTAAATAAAATGTTTAAGATAACGTTAGCTTGATATGTTTGCCTCCGTTTCGCTAATGGTGCGTTCGCTTTCTCCTCGGAACTCCGACTTTCCGACTAGGACATGAACGCGCTCTAAAGTTTGGCTTCACTTTACTAAATGCGACGGGTGATTGGGTGAAGATGAAACCTGCGACAATGATCTAAGTGTGAGCCATCATCGTTTTAATCTGCTCCAGCAGCTAAATAAACTGTTAAAGATAACGTTAGCTTGATATGTTAGCTTCCTATGCCACCATTATCAGCTAATGGTGCGTTCGCTTTCTTCTCGGAAATTCTAACTTCCCAGTAGGAAAAATCAAATGAAAAAGGACGGTAAAAGGAATGAAGATACACAGTAAATTTAGTTAACAGTAAAGATGTTTGCTTCAGTTTAATTATCAGCTTATAAAACTACAAGGACGATGTTAAAATACAAACAGTTGTATGTTATTTATCGTGATATTTATCAAATATTGTTATATATTGAGAAAAAACATATATTTAATTATAAAAGAGAATTAAAATATTAAACACTCAAAAGTATCGAAAACTGGTACCGTTAAGTTTCGGTATCGATTCTTAGGTACCGGGAATTAGTACCGGATCAATTCAAATGTCAAAGGTACCCATCCTTACGCCCATTTCAACACTATTTAATGTTATTTCATTAACAAACTTCTGCAGCCTGATGAGCTGCTGCACAGATAATTCAACCACTCAATTAAGAATGATGGAGCAGAGAAACCACTAAAACGTGCTGGAAACCGGCCCTCCAGAACAGGACACCATGTGGCTCTTCAGACCTGCTATGTGGCTCCAGCAGGTTTTTTTGCACATCTATCAGAAATCCGACAAAAAAATGTGATGAAATAGTACCATGCAGGAAGGCATTTCTTTAAAGGTATTTTTTATCATTTTTTATTGTCAATTGTGCAATTTTTAAGTATTTCATAGATTAACGTTTGTCTTAGCATTAGTTTATTTAGACCCTAATCTCTTAAGTAGATTCTGTGGCTCCCTACAACTAATAATGAATAGGATAAATGTAAAAATGGCTCCTTTAGGTTTTAGTTTGGGGTTAGGGTACCCCTGGTCGTCATGGTCTAGGAACAGCCAAACCATACCAGTGTGCTCCTGGTCATTGATCCGCTGCCACCATGCTTCACCAAGGACCTTGGTGTACGGCTACCGCTGCTCATACTCAAAACTACTTCAAACCATTATCATCCATTACATATGAGCCCACTGTGTTCTTAATACCCATCTAATGCTTTGCCAAACTCCTGAAAAGCCATTCAAATCCCAGATGATTTTTATATGTTGTAGAGAGGTCATCATCCAGAATGAAATGAGCCTATGATGCAGTGTATTCTGGACATATAGCCCATATAAATACATTCACACATCCCCAGTGAGTCGTGGAAGATGGCTGCTTATACTGAGCCAGGATTGTCTGGAGGTTTCTTCCTGTTAAAAGGGAGTTTTCCTCTCCACTGTCGCTTTATGCTTGCTTAGTATGAGGATTGCTGTATAGTCACTGACACTAGTCAGTGACTTGATGCAATTTGCTGGGTTCCTTATATGGGAAACATTATTTCTGATTGGCTTAATGAACTGACCTGAATTGGAATGTTTATTATGTGAAGTGCCTTGAGACGACTCTTGTCGTGATTTGGCGCTATATAAATAAACTTGAATTGAATTTAATTGAAATAAAACATGCACAGCACAAGAGATTGTTTTAAGAGGAATCCAAAAAGGCTCGAATGAAGGCAACTGAACTTCTTTGGTTTTTTGAAGAAGTAAAGACACACAATAGGACATAACGACATCAATAACTCTTGTTAAGGGGTAGAGATGAGGGGTATTATAGGTAGCTTCAGCTCGTTAGGCAACAGTAGACAGCTACAGTTTTTAAGCCTTATAAGGTTGAGCCCAGTTGTCTTCACTCGAACCCCTTTGGATTACCACGACTGAGCAGATTCACCAGCATTTTACAGAGTAGCTTGTTTTCTAAGAGATTTCAGGGTAGCTAATACTAGAAATGACCTTTTATAGCTTTCATCAATGTGTTTACTAGCATCTGTGTTGTTTCCTGTTACCTTCTTCTTCATCTTCACATTTTTAAAGATGGCATGCACCCTCCAGGTCTTGGCAAACATGGCGCCAAAAGCTGTTGTGTATCCAACGATGAGGATCCACGTCCGAACCTGTCGGATCAACACACAGCCGTGTCAAGTCATAAAGCGGTGATCAAGGTTCAAACCAGCATCTGGTCTGATAGGCATCTGTGAGATATAGTTGTGCAAAATAGCATCGCGAGGACCTCTAAACATAGTTTTAGTTTTGCCAAGAGCTCTGAGCAACATCCTGGATAACAAGGCTGTCCGATTTCTGAGAGCGTTTCCTCGTAAGTAAAAAAGCCTTTTATTCCTATGCACAGTGCAGACAGGCTCTAAGAACCTAAATGAATAAAACGTGTTGAAGGGAATTCCAATCTAGAAGCAAAATCTGCAGGGCTGCTGTAACAACGTTTGGTTTTTATAGACCTCTTGGTTCCACCTTTGGTCCCTCATCATCTCACCACAGTATTCCCAGCACATCTCAGAGCAGCAGGCGGAGCGTTTGGCTGTAGAACACGGACAAAAAGGAGATGCTCTGGGAGAACAGATCATTAATCAGCGGCGCATCTATCAACCTCTGAGCTCCCGTGTTGTAGAACGTCAAGTTCTGCTCCACAGAGGAGCTTCATCCAGGTGATGGGACCGTGTGTGTGTGTGTTATCCCAGTGGAAAGCAGTTATCACTGTAATCAAAGTTCTTTAATTAATCCAGTGTCTACAAAGTCACACAGTCAAAAAGGAGATGCTTAATGTGCTCGGGGTGGATCCGGAGACCTGCAGAGACCTTAACTCAGCTTTTCTCTTGATCAAATGGCACATGTGACAGGTCTGACGGCTTTATCCAGAAAATACGACACAGACCAACAAAATACATGGCATAACAGTGACTGGCAGAAGAAAAAAATAATACAATTTATGGATTAAACTCAATTTCATCATTCTTAATCAGTGGTTGGTGTCATAATAAACAGCGTTACTAATGGAGTTTGTGTTTTTCAATTACATGGAATCGACTAATTACGCTATTGTTATAACGCCGTGTCCATTACTGATGTAGCATGAGTGTATTACTAGAATCCAGCCTAGTTTGAACTCTCCCTCTCTCTCTCTCTCTCTCTCTCTCTCTCTCTCTCTCTCTCTCTCTCTCTCTCTCTCACACACACACACACACACACACACACACACACACACACACACACACACTGACAGAGACGTTTTCATTGGGCTGGCAGGAGTCGAGGAGAGACTAGAGCCTTGTGGTGCATGGACTTCGGGGCGTAGCGGCGGAAATGGAGTAATAGCACTAGCTTCCAGTTAGCCATCAGCTAACGGAGAACGGCTGGAGCATGATGGGAGTGAGACAGGGGGTGGCGAGAAGAGAAGGGACTTGAGGAAGGATTTCCGTTGGGTTCGGATCAGGAGCTCGTTTCATTAAGACGTGATGACTGAAAGGCCGGAGGTGACTGAGGGAGTCATTGGACTGCTTGGAGGCTGGTGTCCACCCACTAGCAGACAGGGAGCTTGTCACATGCTGCTGGCGAGAGTTTTGGTATGATGAGGTTCCGACATTACTAGAGCAAACTGTGTGTCTTTATCAAACCGCCCCAGCGCTTCTGCATTTGATCCAAATCTAAGTTCAAAAATGTAAATGACTATTTTTATTTGAAAAGTAACACGATAATTACTTTCTTAGTAATTATTGACTTTTATCATATTGTAACTCAGTATCTATTTAAAGTAACTATAACAAATGACATTTTCAAAGTAACTTGTCCAACAAGGTTCCTACTATTCTCAAATCGAACCCAAACTTTCATACATGACACCAGTTTATGAAAGACTCACCGTGCAAAGTGTCTCAAACTGTTTGTCTGAAACAAAACCTCCATCCAGACCAAACAGGAAGATGGAGGCATAGGACAGCATGCCTCCTAGGATGATCAGGTTGTTCATGTAGGGACTGGACATCTTGATTAGCCTGAAGGAAATAGAGTTAATAAACATTAGGAGCTAATAATTTATCAGCAGAATATCTTGTTGAATGAGCTTTGCATTGGCTTAGCTCTGAACAGACTGATATGCTAAAGGCTAGTCACAGTGAGGCTCGTTATACAGTGTATTTTAGCTGTTTTAAAACAACTTCAGTCTCAAAAGATTTAGAATGCTTAACACAATTTAAAAAAATATTCCTTTAGCTGGATTATGACGGACATTTGAGACGTTTCATCTCTGAACCCGAAGGGCCACAGCGATCTAGCCCAGCCTCTAATTTCTAATAAATATAGTGGGGCAAAAAAGTATTTAGTCAGACACCGATTGTGCAAGTTCTCCCACTTAAAATGATGACAGAGGTCAGTAATTTACATCATAGGTACACTTCAACTGTGAGAGACAGGATGTGAAAAAAAATCCATGAATTCACATGGCAGGATTTTTAAAGAATTTATTTGTAAATCAGGGTGGAAAATAAGTATTTGGTCACTTCAAACAAGGAAAATCTCTGGCTCTCACAGACCTGTAACGTCTTCTTTAGGAAGCTTTTCTGTCCTCCACTTGTTACCTGTATTAATGGCACCTGTTTGAACTCATTATCTGTATAAAAGACACCTGTCCACAGCCTCAAACAGTCAGACTCCAAACTCCACTATGGCCAAGACCAAAGAGCTTTCGAAGGACACCAGGAAAAGAATTGTAGACCTGCACCAGACTGGGAAGAGTGAATCTACAATAGGCAAGCAGCTTGGTGTGAAAAAATCAACTGTGGAAGCAATTATCAGAAAATGGAAGACATACAAGACCACTGATAATCTCCCTTGATCTGGGGCTCCACGCAAGAGCTCATCCCGTGGGGTCAAAAGGATCATGAGAACGGTTAGCAAGAATCCCAGAACCACACAGGGGGACCTGGTGAATGACCTGCAGAGAGCTGGGACCACAGTAACAAAGGTCACCATCAGTAACACACTACAACGGCAGGGAATCAACTCCTGCAGGGCCAGACGTGTTCCGCTGCTGAAGCCAGTGCATGTCCAGGCCCGTCTGAAGTTTGCCAGAGAGCACATGGATGATACAGTAGAGGATTGGGAGAATGCCATGTGGTCAGATGAAACCAAAGTAGAACTTTTTTGTATAAACTCAACTCGTCGTGTTTGGAGGGAGAAGAATACTGAGTTGCATCCCAAGAACACCATACCTACTGTGAAGCATGGGGGTGGGAACATCATGCTTTGGGGCTGTTTTTCTGCTAAGGGGACAGGACGACTGATCCGTGTTAAGGACAGAATGAATGGGGCAATGTATCGTGAGATTCTGAGCCAAAACCTCCTTCCATCAGTGAGAGCTTTGAAGATGAAACGTGGCTGGGTCTTCCAACACGACAATGATCCCAAACACACCGCCCGGGTAACAAAGGAGTGGCTCCGTAAGAAGCATTTGAAAGTCCTGGAGTGGCCTTGCCAGTCTCCAGACCTCAACCCCATAGAAAATCTGTGGAGGGAGTTGAAAGTCCGTGTTGCTCGGCGACAACCCCAAAACATCACTGCTCTCGAGAAGATCTGCATGGAGGAATGGGCCAAAATACCAGCTACTGTGTGTGCAAACCTGGTAAAGACCTATAGTAATCGTTTGACCTCTGTTATTGCCAACAAAGGTTATGTTACAAAGTACTGAGTTGAATTTTTGTTATTGACCAAATACTTATTTTCCACCCTGATTTACAAATAAATTCTTTAAAAATCCTGCCATGTGAATTCATGGATGTTTTTTCACACTCTGTCTCTCACAGTTGAAGTGTACCTATGATGTAAATTACTGACTTCTGTCATCATTTTAAGTGGGAGAACTTGCGCAGTCGGTGGCTGACTAAATACTTTTTTGCCCCACTGTAATCGAATGTTAATTATTGTAAAAAACAAACAAATAAATAAATAAAAATAAAAATCCATATGAAATGCTTCCAGGAATCGCTGTAGTAGTTTTAAGATTAGATAGGATGTAATCCATACTGCCTAGTAGTTAGCTCATCAACCCAGTCCGAAATGATCTCTGTTTAACAAACTGAGGTGGTTCAAATAGTTATTTACAGCCAGTCAGACAATATGGATTCATAACCCTTTCAATGAAACACTGTTAAAAAATAATGATTCCATTAAGTCTTCCCTCTACTTTATTCCTTTAAGAATTTTGCTTTCATACAAGCTTCCATTTTATCAAGTTAATACTTGTACTTTGTCAGATGCTGACCTGTGATTTCGGTTTTTGATGTTGAAGAACAGGAAGGCTCCAGCCATGAGCATGCCCAGTATGGTCATGGTGGACAGGATGCTGTAGAGCGGCACGTTGATGTGGCGTCGCTGTAGAAACACAAACGTACGATCTTTGGGAGGCTCCCTGCCTACAACACAAAAGTATAAAACACAAAATCATTACATATCTCAGAGTCTTTAGACTCGTTTCACACTTTAAGGGCTTTTATCCACACACGTTTCCTGTATTGCTGTTAAATCTCTCACATATTTCTTTTTTTTTAATCTATCTAAGAGTTGGTTGACCTCAGTGGCATCACCCAGCACTTGTCCACTTACAATTGTCGGGGATCACAAGGAAACAAGTCTTCCTGTCTAGAGTTTGTGTGTGTGGGGCAACGGAGAGAAGATGGAACTAGAGTAGTGGGGGAGGAGAATGGCCAGAAGGATGAAACAGATTCCAAAGTGTGTCAACACGGGCAAACATGAGAGAGGAGAAAATGGACCAGTAAATAATTTAGCTGAGAGCAGCCAGTTTAGATTGGAAACTGTGACCCTTTAGAAAGCCTCAAAGATATTTGGACACTGACATTCATGGAATGTTTTCTAGCCTTTCACGATTCAAACTGAACTTGCTGCACAGGACTTTTCACAAATCAATGCAAATGAAAACATCATATGACGATTTAGCCATTTATTTCCAACCAGTAAACTCTAAATTTCAAAATAGTTGGGCAATAATCCTTGAGCCATTCTGTATGGACTTTATTGATTAAATAACCACAATCTAACAGGAAAAATAGGTATTCCAGGACTAAACGCAGCATTTCGGAGTTTTCCCCGTTTCAGGAATTCTGATTATTTTTTTAAATACGTGGAAGATTGTCTAATCCTGTAGTGTTAAATAATGGAGAAAATACATAAAACAATTGTTTTCTAACCCACCCCCGCCCCTTAGAGCCCATGCAATTAGAGTTTACAGCCGCTCAGCATTAGCGAAAAGTGTATGACACCCAGTTAAGTACAGATGAACAAGCGTTTGTGGATGATCCTAGACTGATGCCGATTTGGCGACATTTCTTATGTAAATTAAGAAAGAAAATAAATTAATTAAAAGTATATATATATATAAACTGCATAATGTGAGATAATAGCTGTAAAATAATGTGTTTTAGCTCCGCTGGCTGGCTAGAGGGGAATGTTCCCGAGATGTAATCGCAGAAGTAGGTAAAGGGGTTTAAAATTGAATACAATTTTCCGACCCTGGGTGGTGCCTTCTGGGTAAAAACTCCCGATTTCTGCTTTGACTGGGGATGACAAACCATTGGTTTGTTCATGGTTATTAGAGGGTGTGAATACAGCACATATAAATACATGTTTAATTACTGATAATGTCTTCATTCACTCACAAGTCTGGGTCCTCAACAAAAGGACCCAGATTTTGTTCAAACACACTGCGCCGAGGCCACTGTTAAGAAAAAAGTCTGATCCAGTCCTACAGTTATTATCTCATTTACAAATCAAATCTATACAAGTTATTATTGGTGGGGTTAAAAAGTAAGCCTGCTTTACTCATTATTGAGCAGAGGTCAGGTTAGCTGACACACCCAAATAAAGTAAATTTAAAAATATTTTTAAAGGTATTATCTTATTTTATACACTTTTAGCTCCTTAGATAAAACCACAATACCCAAATCTAATTACCAACAGTTGGTTCACATCTCCAAGGCAACATTAAAGAGTCTAAACCTATTTTTTATCCTGCAATTAAACATATCTTGACTTTCCATACCTTGGAACTTGATGGAGGTGTTGTTGAGGTCCAGCAAATCAGCAATTGCGTTGTACTCCCCTACTTTAATTTCCTGTCCGTCTGTAAAAACAAGGAGAGTGAAGAAATGAAATGAATGGGGTGTGCTTAAACATCAACACATTTGAAACACGACCCTCGCTGGTAATCTTCAAAAACCTAGCCGAAGCCGAGAGGTCCAAACTTCCCTCTCACAGCTACTTGAGCCAGCTCCTCCGGGGGAGTCCCAAGGTGTTCTCTGGCCAGCCGAGAGACACGGTCCCTCCAGCGTGTCCCGGGTCATCTTTTAGGTCTCCTCCTAGTCGGACGTGCCCGGAAAACCTCACCTGGGAGATGTCCGGGAGGCATGCTGACCAGATGCCTGAGCCAATTCAACTGGCTCTTCTCAACGTGGAGGCGCAGCGGGTCTACTCCGAGCCCCTCCCGGATGGCTGAGCTTCTCATCCTATCTCTGAGGTAGAGCCCAGCCACCCTGAGGAGAAAGTTCATTTCGGCCGCTTGTATTCGCGAGCTCATTCTTTCAGTCACTACACAAAGCTCGAGACCACAGGTGAGGGTAGGAACGTAGATCGACCGGTAAATCAAGAGCTTCGCCTTCTGGCTCAGCTCTCTCTTCACCGACAGATCGGTACAACACCTGCATCACTGCAGACGCAGCACCAATCCGCCAGTCGATCTCACGCTCCAGCTTTCCCTCACTCCTGAACAATCCCTGAGATACTTCAACTCCTCCACCTGAGGCAGGACCTCATCCCTGACCTGGAGAAGGCATTCTACCCTTTGCCGACTCAAGACCATGGACTCCAATTTAGAGGAACCGATACTCATACCAGCTGATTCACACTCGGCTGCAAACCGCTCCAGCGAAGGCTTTTGCAACTTTGTTAAATTGTCAGCATGTTGTGACAATTTTTGCAGTGAGTGACGTCACTTGTTGCCGCCAAAAGGCCTCCCTGGACATTTATGACAATAGTTTTATTCTGTCAAGGTACGTTGTTATTTAATCCATTCAGGGGGCTGGGATTACCCATGGACCAATCAGCATGAGTTAACCACAAGTCCCACACAGCGACTCTACTGGGCCATTTCTGATTGCATGCCCCAGTTCAGGTACTGGGTTGGTTCCTATCATGGCACACAAACAGGTCCTTTTGTGCCAGCCCAGTGAAATGGGGCGTGTTCATGCTGTGAAGGTCTGGTAAAATTACCTAAAATCTCCAAAAACCATCATGTTTCACAATAAGATGAATGTGGATTTCCAGCAGATTTGTTCGTTTCAATTAAATGTATTGATGCATTAAAATAAATGATGTCTTGATGCTTTTCTGGAGCCATAAGAAAGAAAAAAATAATAACTGAGAATTTGTAACATAATAACAACATTGATTAAACCCAAAAAAAAAAAACAGCGAGCACAACAAAAAGTTATTTTCTTACTCATAAATGGACAATTTCAAATGACATTAAAATGTATTTATAACATCATTTGTAGGAGTTTTTCACTGAGTGATAAGAACTCAAACACATTTAATTTTCAGAAGACAATTGTTTGAATTAGAAAACTCTAATGCTACACAGTCAGCTGCAAGTCCTTCTCTCACAATAAACTGCTTTCCCAGCAATTAATCAGCGTCGGAGCGACTCAGTTTGACCCACATCTGTCGCCGTGTTTGTCACTGTGATCAGGATAACTGGGAAATCTGTTTCCTGTGAAGTTCTTCTTAGTTTGTCTTTGATCAGACTCATTTTGTTTTATGTCGTCAAGTCGGCCTGTGAACATGAAACGTGTCTCCGCAGAGTGATGTTCAATCCCCACTCCCCAAATATTGTGTGTTAGGTGCTATAGCTCATTATCTAAAATGACAGCATCACCTAAAAGGAAGAAAACATATTATTTCACTTCTGTTCACAGGATGACAGCGGCAACGCCCGCTTATCTACCTGGTGTTGATTTAAAATCAGAAGATGAAGACCTCCAGTGCAGAATTATCTGTCGTCGAGGCTGTTGGCTGAAAACGTACGACAGGCCAAAGTGGAGGATCAGAGGTAGCAGAAAGACGATAAGGTCATGATGAGGATCAGTCCTTTTTGAAATATTCAAGCAAGGGGCTGCCTCTCCTCTGCTCTCCACCCAGCTCAGACTCTGCTAGTGTCAAATTCCCACTGGAAACAAGGAAGCTGGTGGACTTCCAAGGACAGGTCGGACTAGAAGAACGGTGCAGATTTAGTTTTTTAACTGATCATTGCTCTTTACGCTTGCCCTTTCTCACAGGAAAAACACTGTGTGTGTGTGTGTGTGTGTGTGTGTGTGTGTGTGTGTGTGTGTGTGTGTGTGTGTGTGTGTGTGTGTGTGTGTTGGGCAGAGGTTAGAACGGTGCTGTCCACCGGGTTATTTGCAGGAAGCCCCGTCAGCTCAGCCACACGATACCCATGTCTGATTTACCGGATTTTATTTGATTAAAACTTACGAGAGACTGAACACAATAATTTAGTGTTCATCCAACCAGGAATTATGAAGTGAAAATTCATTTTAAAAAGAACGCCCAGAACAGTTTCTTTATGAGAAACAGAAATGGAACTACGTGAATAATCGCCTACAACAAAAACGATGTCTGGCCATAGGCCCAGCTGGGCTGCCCAAAATGTTGCAGCCTTCTGCTTTCTTGCCTCCATCTGAAGTTCCTAACTTTTAGCATTCTTGCCTCCATGCGAGGAGCTGCTGCATCCTGATTTCCTGCCCCCACCCTTTCTGCTTTAATCCTGTGTTGGGTGTCAGAAGCTGCTGTTGGGGGAACACAATCCAGATGTGCTCCTGCAGCCTCTTGTGTCTATTGAGTCTCGTCTCTGCTCACCTGCCCTTCCCTACCTGTTTCCCTGATTATCCTCATGTATTTAAACCCTCTATGTGTGCTTGTCTTTGTCAGATCCTCGTCTTCCCGTCATGCCACCATACCTGCCATTATTCAAATAAATCAGTTCTTTTTTACCTGCATTCTGTGCCTGCTCGCCTTCACTTGGGTCCGAACAACAACTCCATATCATGACAGAAAAGTGCAACATTGATGTTTTATCGACACAAATAACCAGTGTTGGGAGTAACGCGGTACAAAAGTAAATAATTACTGTAATGCATTGCTTTTTATTGTAATGTGGTAATGTAAGGCATTACAGGGAAAGAAAATGGTAATATTTACTCGGTACAAGTGTCAGTAACGCAGTAATTACAATGCATTTTTAAACCCAGAATCAAGCTGCCTTTCTTAAAAATTCAAATTGTGGTAAACCCGAAGAAAGATCCAGTATCTGCATATATTACGTCATTTATGGACTCAGCTTTGCGGGCAGAGAGGACGCAGCAGTAACGGCTCAAATACTCCAGCTGCGTCCTCCACGCGGCCGCTGCAACATTCACAAAATCGCTCCACTAAAACAAAATAATTCACCTGCGATCGTTCATATCAGCGCATATTCTCTGGTATTCTGTACTTTTCTGACGTGCTTTGCCGCAGCTGAGTTCATAATCTGTGCCCCGGTGATTTCAACTCATTACTGCTGGAGCGCCGCGCATGTGAAGATCCCTTTGGCTGATTGGTTAGAAAGTAGGGAATCTAGTTTACAGTTTTTCTGGAAGACGGAGAAAACATGCAGCATGCAGGACGGTTAGAGAGAGAAAGGGCCGGAAATTATTCAAATAAAATCAAGAAAACAAAACAAAGTGCTTGAAAAGAAAAAAAAGTAGGTAAATTTATCCCCAATACACATTTTTACCAGTGAAAAGCAATAATATATAAACATTTAATATTTATACATGTGATAGAATCAGATCACCCCAGAAGTCAGTCCCACATCCAGGGCCGTATCAAGGCATTTGGGGACCAAGGCAAATAGGCTTGGAGCCCCCACCTGTCACGGTCTGGGTTTTTTTTCACACACTAATTGGTGTAGAGTCTCATCTCTCCTCTGCAGGTGGGCGTGCCTGGAAGTTGGGAGGCTGCAGGTAATCTGCTGATTAGCTGGCCAGGGATATTTAAGCTCCTGAGAGACGCCTTCACTTCGCTGGATGATTAACTCAACTTGGGTATTTCTCCTAACAGCCAAATCCAAACTAAGCTTTGATTTTGAGAATTTCTGGGTTATGGATTTTTGATTTTTGAGATCTCTGTGTTTTTGACTGCTTGTTTTGCCTCCTGCAGATATCACCTATCAGTTCACCTCGTTTGCTGCTACCAACCTGGTTTCTTCACTGTCCACTCGTCTCTCAGCGTCCTCCTCTGGTCTTCCCACTCCAGGCTGCCCACCCTCCCTCCTGGATCACCATTACCCTTCATGCTCAGCTCCCTCCTCATTTGGACTCCAAGCTCATCTGCCTCCAGTAAGCCTCCTGCCCTCCCCAGACCGGTCCCTCCTCCCTCTCTCACGAGGTCTCACCTCCAACCTGATTCTCCACACCCGAACCTCGCTTCTCTGCCGAATACTGCTAGACTTCCTAGCAGCTCCTTCTGTTCTCCTTTTCTAATAAATTATTGTTTGCGATCTTCTTTGACTCTGTGGACTGATTCTGTATGTCGTGGGTTAGGCATCTACCACACAACATGACAGAATCATCCAGCCAGAATCCTAACCTCAGTACCGAATCAGTTCCACCTGTTATCACCGAAACCTTATCACAACACAGTTTAGCCCTTCATTCCCTCACCAAACAACTGTCAGACGCTAACCAGACTCTGTTTCAGTTGGGTGCGATGGTTAAACAATTAAGTGAACAGCTCACCAATCCGGAACCCTCTGCTCCTCCTGCTCCGAGTCCGCCCGGACCCGTTACCTCGGCACCATCCATCCCGCCCAACTTCCGGGTTGCCTTGTCTCCTCCCCCCGAGACGTTCGACGGGGATCGAAACGTTTGTAGAGGTTTCCTCCTCCAGTGTAACTTGGCTTTCCAACGCTCCCCGGAATCTTTTGCAACCGACGCAGCCAAGATTTCCTACATTGTCGGATTACTGCGCGGCAAGGCCCTCAGGTGGGCAGAAGCCAAGAGCCGCTCTCCGAACTTCCTTGCGGGCCCA